TCTGAGTTTTTTGAAGTACCGAGTTTAAGTATTGAGTTATGATGTTATGTTGCTGTTTATCGATCCTGATGGTCACGTGAATGTGTGACCAGAGGGGGGAATGTGAGATTTCATAACACTTTGAAGCAACTTTTGTTAAAGTTAAACTCATCATTCTATCAATGTGCAGAAGCCTGTACTTTTCCACTTCATGTTTTGTCTATCTGAAGGCCAAGCTACAAGTACAACGTGGAAGCTGCTGATTGGAGGTCTCCATGCCTCCGCTCTGTATAATACACTTGCATTCTGTTGTATCTGTTGTTCGTGCTGTCTCTACCATCGACAATAAAACATGTCTTCTGTCTGAATGAAAGACGCGATCCCAGACTTGGCACATCTTCTTCAGGTGGTGGAAGGATGCGGGCCTTGTCTGTAACATCTAGAGAACAGAAGACATTTGCATGTCAAATGAGGTGATGACCGAAACAACAGGGGGCTAGGGTGGGCTTTGTTTATTCGTCTGGGGGAGGAAGGCCCAGTCCCAATACCCACACTGCACCCTACGCCCTCCTATGAAGTGTGCATTTGTTTGAAGTGCGCGCAAGGGTTTGAGTGCGCAGGTTACAAGTGTGCACAAAAGGCGGAATTGGGACAGTGCACACTGAGTGCAGGTTACGTCATCGACTCGTCAAGAGATGGTCATTTTCAGACCTAAACTTTATACAAATTAAAGGTAATTTTGTCTGATCCTTTGGGAAACTAAATGAATTGCTTCACACACGTTAAAATACATGTATATTAGTGGTTTCTAATTAGAGATAGCTGTATAATTTTAAGTTAAATGTGGGTAACTAACTGTTATCTGGTCAGTTTTTATACATTCTAAGATTATTGTACTAAGTGTAAAGTTTAAATTGACTGTTATATAAACGCTTGGTTTAAAAAGTTATTAAATTGTTAAAACACAATGTCCGTAATTCTTCATCAGACGTTTATGCTTCTTTCCAAGTAACATTGCAAAACTTATTTACACACATACTGCATATATATTTCAAAATGTATATTTAAATGCATTTTCCCGACGTTTTGGTGTGTACCGCAAAGAATTATGGGCAATATCCTTCGCCAGAGTGCGCATGGATGCAGGCTACGGCGAAGTGTGGATCAGGGGCGCAAAGGGGGCGGGGCCAAAGACCTCCCTGGAGAATTGGGACACCCTACGCACTCGCACCCTTTATCGGGAACGCGCAAATGAGGGGCGCGAGGGTGGAAGTGCGAGTATTGGGACGGGGCCGAAGGGCTGCGAATGAGTGACTTCCAGACTGTGAACCCTGAGAATTAATATACTGTATATATTTTGTAATAACATTTTTAACACAGTATGTTTCATTCTGACTGAAGCACATGATAATGTTATAAAACAGTATGTTTCATTCTGACTGAAGCACATGATAATGTTATAAAACAGTATGTTTCATTCTGACTGAAGCTCATGATAATGTTATGTGATGTGAGAAATGCACTAAAGCCACTGGAGAAAAACTGTAACTATTCAGATCCTCCCCCTCCCCCTAAGATGGCAAAGTGAAGCTCAGCCTGCGATAACGGCCCTATTTACATAACAAAGTTGGCCGTTCACAGGTGATTTCGTTTGTTAGCTAAAATCCTTGGGGTCATTTGGCACCGTGGAGGGGATGATAGGTATAAGTGCCAAATGACACCTCCATGCGAGTGCTAGTGTTAAAGCTGCTTTCAATATCTTTTCAAATCTGTTTTCCTTTTCTCCATAGCATGTCTGTAACAAAAGTTCTCATAATCTGAAGTCGGCGTATTTACATGGTTTTATGAAACAGAATTCTGAGAAAAACAGGTTTAAAGATCGACATTCCAAACATAATCATCACAGTCACATATAACATGTAAATTTTGAATTACTCTGTTATGGCACACTTGTTTTAGTCACTATGTTGTAGAAGATTAAAAAGATGTTACTTTGGCACCAATTAAACACACAACACTCATGAATTAGTCGAAAATCAAGAATGTATTGATTCTTTCAATATTCAATGGATTGAATTTTGACCTCCTCTTCTTTTTCTTTCTCTTTATAATTTACTGAAAATTAGATATGTATTAGACATTGCCAGTATTATTCTATCAAATCACGCAGTCTAAATATCCACAACCACCAAGCATTTTTAATGCAAGGAGAAACTTAGGTAACTTTAAACACAAATAAAACAAATGGACCTGTCCGACTCGAGTGTCTATGCGTCGTGTGTCTCTGGTTCTGTCCAGGTGTCTATGATCCGCGTGTCTCGCGTGTCTCCGCCTGTCTGGGTTCTGTCTGCGTATGTGTAAATGTAAATGTAAATGTCTGTCTGTGGTTCTGTTCGCGTGTCTATGGTCCGCGCTCGTGAGCAGAGAGAGACGTGAGCAGAGAGAGAGAGCAGAGAGAGACGTGAGCAGAGAGAGAGACGCGAGCAGAGAGAGAG